TTGATATTAATTAACTGAAGCTATTAATTAATTGCTTAAACACAAACGATATAATTAATTAAATTAAATTTACCATTCCTTCACAAATAGTGTATCCATATATATAGTTGGAGAAAACAAACAATGTGTTATGAGATTTAAGTGAGATAATATGATTGATAACAGAGCAAATTTGGAGAATGGCCATACAGGAAACAGTAACATCATGATTAGAACATGTATAATAATATAGAATTTAAAGCGACATGAATGGAGAGAGTGAGATTCGTAATATATGGATGGTTGGTGGTGAAAGTTTAATGGAGAAGAAAAGAAGAGATGATGGGGAAGATAAGTGAAGCTGGATATTTGGGAGCGTGTTGGGCGGAAGCATGGCTAAGCTCATATGCCTGTGTGGTCCATTTGGGTCCATCTCTTATAACTCATCACACTCTTCACTTCCACGCCTTGTCTCCCTCCTTCCTATCCGTCATCACGCCCCAATCATTCATTAATCACTCATCACACAAGTTTAACTCAGCTTAATTAATTAACTACTCTCTTGCAATATAAAATCTAGTTGAAGAATTCAATTTAGTCTCAAATATAAGATTTTAATTATTCACACCAGTCCTATTCTTCTCTCACCCATATTGCTAGCTAGGGTTTGCCTTGAGCTCCGAGCAAACACTTTTTATCAGAGGTTCACTGATCGATGGAAGTTTGCGATGAATTTAATGAAACCATGCAGCGGGAACGTACGCAATGGTGGAAATGAACTTTAGAGACGTGGCTGCGAGCTAGCTAGCTATTAGTACATCTGTGTGAGAGAATTTATGAGGGAGCAGTAATATCTTCTGGTAAGTTTCTGACCTACAAAACCTGATCACAAAATGTACTATCATAAATTATATATATATGCAAAGGGTGAAACGTAAACAGGCGCAGAGTCTCATCATTGTACAAAAATGGTGAACACCCATATAAAGTGATAGCAGCTATAATATAAATCATGTGTCATTTTCTGTCATTCTCGATCAACCACATGGATATACGTACGTGGATTGTCCGGCCGGTGAGCACAGGCTTTATGTATCTTTTTACTGTGAGCATGCGCAGCAGAATCATTAATTCATAATTGTGTGCAGGCATTTATTTGGTTTTTCAGGTCACATATGTGTGAAAAGTGTTGAGTTCATAAAAGAGAAAAGGAAGGTAACTAGAGAGTGAGGCAGGGTATTATTTGTGGATGTTGGAAATGATGGTCTGGGTATATAATATCATTTGGTTGGATTTGGACGTATGAGATATATATGGATACATATGGTGAGAAGAAGAGGAAGATGTTGGTATATTGCGTGTGATAAGAGTGAGGGAAGTTGCATATTAGCTGGATCTTGTTGTTCCAACCTTACGCACATGCTTTTCCCTTGTTTTCCTCCTTCCTTGCTCTTTCTTTCACCCCTCAACTACACTTCATACGCTTTCTACCCTCCTTTCATTCAATATGTATGTTAAGATATGTCAAAGTGTGTGGATTTCACTTGAGATGATAAGTCTCATATCGGATAGAATTGAGCTTAATAAAACACACACACATCCATATATATGACGAGTGAAATAACTCATAAGTCACTAATCTTAAAGAAAAGTGATTCAATAAGTACTTGTGTGTGAAGAAATTTGCATGTCATGTGTAGATCGTTTAAACTCGTTTAGATTGGTCTTAGTTATATATAAAAGCTTGAATCATTAGATTTAATGACGAAATCTTATAATTAGGACCAGATGTGATATTAAATAGAGTTGGCTTTAGAATTGAAATGCGTGAAGTCAAACCTACTACTTAATTATATGCATAATCTTCCATCATGATGGGGGAAACATATATGTATATATATTTATTTACACAAAGCCAACCCATAAAAAGCAAACATAAGATTATAAAATAAAATTACGTGCATGGATAAAATATCTACAGTGACACAAATTTTCGATATTTCTTCTCAATTAACTATTTAAAAAATATAATCGAATGAAAGATACAAAAATGTCCCGTCACCACAGCATCTATAAGACATTTTTCCCATTCCCTTAAAGATAAAAAAGAATCCCATTTATTTTACTGTCGAAATTAATATGAAGTGAAGCAGATGGGACACAATGCATATGCTATATCACTATATCTCATATGAGTACAACACAACACGCGCACGCGCACACACCCTGCATACGATATACTTCCTATAGTCCTAATTATAAGAGCTAATTGACTAATTTAAGAAGATTAAGAAAAGAAGTTAAGTTAGTTATTTATAATGAATAGATGTTATCTTTCCTAAAATATCCTTACTAATCAATTGTATTGGCTAGAGATATTATTGTTAGGAGGACTATTTTGAAAAAAAATACATAAATATGAGAGACAAAATAGATTGGTGTTTTATATTTAGGATCAAAATAAAAGTCAATCAAGGTTTTATATTAAGGACCGGAAGTAGTATATCCCACTGGACAACTTGCATTGATTAATAAAAAATATTTTTTTTTAATAAAATTGAATCAAGGTGACCAACATTTTCAGCTGATGTCCTCCATATACACAAAAGTAAATGGAGATGGTGTAGTTTCGTCTAATATTTAATACTAGTGATTAATTCAAATTCAAGTCATATTAGGCCCCAATCAAGAAAATAAACTTTTTTATGAAAGTGATTTTCAATATCTTAATACATTACCCACAGTGTATATGATTCACTAGGAGAGAAATAGATAGAAAAGCGGGCACCTATAATTATGAGGCGTGGACTAAAACAATTTTTTTTTCATCTCCGTCTCCTGATGTATGGTTCTAGAGGATTTTTTTTTCCTTTTAAGTTTTTTTTTTGACGAAAGCTTTTAAGTTTAGTCTTTTGGTTTATTAGTTCAATTTTACACTTTTTTAAAGAACTCGGAACGTTTTTCATGATGATACCTTTTTTCGACTACGCATAGGTATTTTGTTATTGGAGACAATTATATTCAATGTATTGTTGGTCATTAAATGTGAATTTTTTTTAACAAAAATTTAAATATTAATCCATTACGTTGCGAAGGAATTCTCTTTTTATTAAACCCAACCTATGATGACACCTTTGAGTTTGATGGAACCTTTTGAGCTTGCAGATTCTGTTCCCCCACTCTGACAACAAAGCCCACAGACTCGGTTATCTGATGGTTCATATAAAAAGCTCTTGGGAGCCCAGTATAAGTGCTTCAATGGGCCAACAGGGCCCGGTCGGTTTATTATCAGAAATCAAGCGGAATACAGTTGGGTTTTTCAGCTTTTCTGACTTATATGATTCATCAGGCTTCTGGGCCTCATGGGCTGAAAGTCCACTAATAAAGTGACGTAATGGTTACCAATTAGGTGACGTTTGGAACCCTTGTTCATAGGTTCAGCTCGCGAAAGGGTTAGGCTTTCTCACTAAAAAGAAGGGGTTCGATCTTGAGGAGTGTCACTTTGTTGTGACTCTAGTCACAACGCTAGAGAGGTATCTCCACAGCGTAGTGAAGTTGAGAGAATTTTACCTATTGAGCTAGAAAAAAAAAACTTACTTGTTATGCTCCCATGCCGGAAGGGATATGCCTAATAGATTAAGCGTTAGGTGCTCTGTCCTTAGATCGTGTGTGAGTCCAACCCCTTTCCTAAAATTTTTGTACCAACAAAAAAAGTGACTTCTGGAAAATACTGAACAATTAAATCAAATCATTGCAAGCTTAGCAAATAGCCAAGTATCTAAAACTCGTCATATAATATAAAACTGAATTTCTACGTAACAAAATTTGATTGAAAATCTATCACATGCTCCACCGGATTTGACTTTTTAAAGGCAGGATTTAAGGTTTAGAAAATTTTATTCCAAAATTCTTTTTCTTTTTGGCAGAATCATCCCGAAATTATTTGAATTGATGATTCATGTGTTTGGTTAGCGTTATGATTTCATATTTAATTTCAATCAATGTTATTTTCAGCGTAAAATTTAGTAGTGCTTCTTTTTTTGTTTGCAGGAACTAACTAAGAATTTATTTTATTTTAAATATAAGCTTTTAATTAATGTATATTTTTTTATTAGTTATTTTTTTTACTATGCCTATTTATTTTACAATGTTTTCACTGAAAAGGAAATTAACACTTCCATCCAATTCTTTTTATAAGGCATTTAGAGGAGAATTTTTTTGATATTTTTTATAAGGTATCATATGAAATATTTATTATATTTTTTAAAATTACCTTTATTAATGTCCATTTATATATTCTAAATTTGGCCCTTTCGATTCTAAAAGATGGGTTTAGCAAGGATGAATCTGAAAATTTTATTAGTTTTCAAACAGACCTAATAAATTTTAATAAAGACTTTGAAATTGACCTGTAAAAAATCATAAGAGTAGAGTCAATAGTCAGGCAAAAAAAAAAGAGAGTCAATAGAATAATCGGGGTATTGAAAAAAAATTATCCCAAATCATTCTAACTTAACGTATCTTCATCTGAATAATTACCTGACCACATCCAACGTTTAAAGCCTAAAGCGCCACGCTATATAACCTGCCTGACTCCTAAGTTAAAGGATTTCCCATTTTGAAAAAAAATATTTTAATATCTCTCCCTTTTAATTTTGTGGATCCTTTTCCTCACTTCCAATTTCGGGATTCACAATGTACGGTACTTTTTTTTAAAAAAATATGATTGGTACTCTGACATGAGGAACGTGATATGAGGCGTGGGTATCATAATTAATTTTTAAAATCTTATATATTAACTATAAAGAATGATAAAATTGTTTTTTTTTTTAAACCTCATCTAAGGTTTGATCAAATTAAATTTATTATTGTCATGGAATATTTGTAATGAAAACGATAGAAATAACTGATATTGTATATGATACTAATTTTTTTTTATATTTATTTTGTATACCTCTCTAACTGCGTTCTGGATAACTAATTTATAATTATGAAGGAAGAATAACTAAGGAGCATGCAGAGAATCACAAGATGCCAAAATTAATTCCAATAATACTTAATTTAACTACTTACAACAACGTTAGAACTCAGAACTAATTTTGATCCCTCCCATGATTGAGAAGCCTAAATTTATGTTTACTAACATGGGTTTGTTAATTAATTACTTACTCAAAATCCCCCATCAGTACTCTTCAATTACTAGCCCATCATATTCCTTTTATGCATGGAGTTGCTTGTCTCACCCATCTCCATCATTTGAGGCTTATATTCATCCTCAACATCTTCCTTCATCACCTGAGATGATAAAAACAGAGACTCTGACTGTGGCGGAAGTGGTGGCCGTGGCGGCGGCGGCACCACCACTGAAGGTAGTTTAGACAGCAAGGCCTCAAGGCTTTTCATTGAAGGACTTAAATTCAAGTATGGGTCATAGAGAAGTTCAGGCCCTGGCCGTTGTTGATCTGAAACTCCACAACCCAATCCATGAGAAAAAGAAGACGAAGACGATGATGATGGGTGTGGTAATAGCACTCCTGGGATGCTCTCTATGTAACTCAACATTCTCCTTAATTGGACCACGTAGTTCAGGTCTTCTATCACCTTCTGAACTGCTCCCAGTTGAATAACACCTTCTGTCACACTAATCAGTGCTATGGTCTGCAAAATATATACATATATTCATCGATCGATGATCTCACTGAATCTTATGAAGGAGGGTCTCTCTCTAAATGATGAAGTGGAAAGTAACAGTTTCATACCGTTATACCACACTGGAACTGGGCTTCCCATGTCCTTGGATACTGTTTAAAAAAAAAAAGAACAGTTGATGGATTTGACATTAAATTTATGGTTTTATTGTGTTGGATTGAGGAAGAACATGTTTACATATGTGGGGTTTTTGAATTCTCACCGATTCTGCAGACGCGGAGGCCAAGTTGATTTCTTGATCTTGAGTAGGTTCGCTGTATATCCACTTGTGGCTGCGTTCTGCAGCAACTTTTCCTATCAACCTGCTGGTCCATGAAAGCTAATTAAGAACTCTTTTAAAACAGTTAAAGAAGTAAGGAGTAATGCAGTAGTACAGTGCAATAGTTGGGTAATTAGGTTAGTAATGGATATTATACAAACTTACCCTTCTCCATAGTTATAGATCTCATGCGACATCTTGAAGAACAGCTCAGGTTGCAACCCTTGATAGTAATTCCCATTATAAACAGATGATGAAGCTGCAAAATTGCAGAAACCATCTTCCCACGCCAATATCCTGCATTATGCATTATAACGAGTTTAAACAGTATATAATTACAATAACATAATTCAGAAACCAAGCCCCGGTACCAGTTCCTTCTGTTTCCTCTTGATCTGTCATAAGTCCCTTGACCTTCCCACTCCCATCTATTACCAATCCGACCATGCAACAAACACAATCATTAGCACAGAACTAATACTATGTTTGTGTTTTTATTTCAGTGACAAAATCCTGATGCTTACTTGGGTGGTGGGTAGTTTCTAGGCAAGATCCTCCAGAAGACTGCATATACCCACTGAGAATTTTGATGAATGCACAGGCTTCTCAGTGTGTGTTGAAGAATATGTGTAGCAGCCAGTGGACTGACATGTTCTTCCATAGCCTTCAGTTATACAACCAATTACAGATGCTCTATCTGATCTTTCTTCTTCACTTTCACTTTCATCATCCTCGTTTATATAAACCCACCAACTAGGAAAGTTCACATTTATTCTTCCATCTCTCTCTCATCAGTCATCACGCTCGCATTTTCTTGTGGGGTATAGAGGGTGAAAATTGGAGCTAATATAATATCTTATATGCTTTTCTGGGACCCCACCAGTCTGCTTCCTTCTCAGTTCCTATAAGACCTCAGTTTTCATCTTTCTTTGAAATTCATATTCACCCAAGTTCATGTACAGCTGTCAGAAACAAAATAGCCAATGTTACTCACATAATAATATACTCTTCCGGTCCTAAATATAAGATCATGTTTATAGTGTGTAAAAAGATTTTATATTTAGGATTGAAGGAGTATATAACAACTATATTTTTATTAGATCATTTTAGTATTTTATAGTCTTTTAGTTCAAGGCATTGCATAAATATGAAATGGGGGTGTGTGTGATTTTTCTGTGTGTCGTTTAACGTTCAGTTTTCCGACACTGTTTAAGGTAGCTACTGACCCTAGTACCAGAAAAAGTTCCTGAACCGCAACCATGTATCAAATTCAATCCAAACAGATCAATACTGCAGGTCATAAATTTTGCAGAGGATGATAATCTTTGCATCTGTTTTTTTCTTTTCTTTTCTTTCCCCCCTTCCTTTCTATTACTATATATTACCATAATTATTATTACCTTATATGTATAGAAGGAGAGTAGGCGAAAGCGAAGTATCAGCCATACATAGATAACTGTGTGATATAGTGCTCTATTAATTATTGCAGTTGCAGGTAATAATGATAATTACTGAGTCAATATAATAGCATCAGAAATAAAGTCATTATATTTACTTCACTGCTGTTTTTTGCTTCATCCATCAGAGGTACTGGTGGCCTTTGTGATGCCACAATGCAAGAGAATATGAATGACTGGCTGGGGAACTTGTGGTCACCTTGCATAGGGTAATATATATAGGCCGTAGGCCTTGTTTGATTCTGTGCTACTTCTATGTTTTCAAAAATTGATTCATAAAAAAAGAGATTGTTAAAAGCTTTTGTTCTATAAACAGTTCTGGATTCATCAGAATTAGTACTTTAAATCAAGTAGCTAGACTGGTGGGCGCGATAGTCACATTATATATATATATATATATTACACTGACGCGAATCCATACTCAGGACACACTGCCATCTGCAGAATCTTGAGAGCTTCTTAGTTCTTAATGACTGAAAACCTAGGCATGCCATTATAGTACGTCCTTTCTTAATTTCTTTTCATTGGAAAAGGATTTCATTGCTTGAAAGAAGGACGACAAAGTAATTAGCCTACTAGATGCATGCTCTTGTGGAATTCCTATTCATGTTCATGGATGTTTAATTGAGGATGAGCTTTGAAGTAACGATAAGGTTGCTATCATGTGACTTGGAGGTCACAGGTTCAAGTCCTCAAAATAACTTCTTCGTTTGTGAGCGTAAGTTTGCATATATTTGTCCCTTCTCAGGTCTCACTTGGTGAGCGCCTTGTGTACGTACTGGTCTGTCCTGGATGCTTGTTATAATTAAGTTTAATTGTACTTAATATGAGACTTTGCACATCAACTCATATTCATAACATATAAAAGACGGATTACCTAAACAAACAACCTATCATTTACCATCTTCTTTCTTTATATACATGGCATGTAAAAAACAATATATTGCTATATATATGTCTCCATGATTTACTATACGGACATATCAAACAAGATGTTTTTCTCGTTTTTGTCTCCGCCTGTGTATTATGTTTGTTTGCACCAGAGAGAGAGAGAGAGAGAGAGAGAGAGAGGAATGAATGATTGAAATGGCGCACATAATTGAGAAGACGTACGAGATACTATGCGCAAATTAATAATAATGAACGATTTTAGTTAAAAAGGGCTAAAGTGAAGCTATGGCTCTTTTTCTTTGCCATAATCATGTTTGGTTCGAACGGGATGATGATCATAAGGGCATGAAGGTGGACAAGACAGACAAATTCTACAGAAGGTGATGTAAGCATTAACATTATCAGTTGAAATGCTCTTTGGATGTTTATTGGGAGAAAGCTGTGTTCCACTCTTGCCTTGTGATGTGTTTATCAATTATTTGTGTCACACACACATAACGTCTATATATATTCAGAAAACACTACGAAAATTTAATCACAAAAAGTCCAAGGGAGGGAAAAACAAATTAATTAAGAAGGCCACGGGAAGAGATCGAATTGGTCAAGAGTATTGCGTGTTGAAAGTATAACAGTGATACAATCATCAAGATACTCATCAAAGCTAAAGTGTCTCTGGGAAACCAAACACAAGCATTTATTGACAAAGTCTGGCTTTCAGAAATGTCTCCGGCAACTCGTTGTGTCTCTTAATTAATTTGGTGGCAGTTTTTTGGGATAATGGTTGGGGTTACGCACACACATCCCACGCGTACGGTGCTTTAAAAATTTGAAGGTTCTGATAAAAATCCACTTGACATATATAACTATAAGTATTAATCTGCTTTAATATGGTGCTACGTACGTCACACATGCATAATTAGTATTTGTCGGTGGCACTGATTATATTTAAATATGATGACGAAGACCCTATATCAAGTTCTAGTTTCATCCTGTCGGGCTTATTCCCATTTCCCAAATGGTTTATGAGAAACAAAGAATATTAATTACTATTGAAATTAAGCCTTCACAAACAAGATAGGATTAAAACTAATACGAATATGATTAATACATAATTAAATGGAAAATGAATTACACGTGCAAAAATTCAAAAAAAACTTTTAAAAAATAATTTTAGGTGTTGGGTGGAGGGAATTATATATGGGCACTTTTATTACCAGTAGTTGTTGCAGCCGACAAATATGGGTGGAAAGAAGCTGTAAAATTAAAGTGGAAAGCCAACCCCCAACATTGAAATAAACGAAGAAGCTGGATGCCACACGGCTCGACTTCTTTCGACTATTACTTTACATCTTTAGTATTAAAATTAATTTGACTTTCAATTTAATCTTAAATATAATATTTTAATTTATTTTGTTTTTCATATTTATCTATTTTTTTAAAACTAGTCCTTGTAATAGTTGTAAAAAAAATTATTAAATAATAGTTCTAACTAACACACACGATTAGTAGAGCTATTTTAAAGAAGACTATGCCTATTTATTACAAACAGGTAACAAATTTTTTTAATCTACTCACATTAATGAATTAGCTCTTTTATTAAGAACCAGGCTATTATCATTATTGAACCCTCACTCTTCTCTGGATCCTCGGCATACATGAAGAGGCACATTACAAAGATACTATATATGTTTGATTAATCAAATCAAGTACCCTCAATTAATAATTATATACACGTTTTTAATTTACAGTTAATAACGAAAATTAATATATCTAAATGAGTGTTGGTCCTCTAAATGGCAGCATGCATTTACGGACGTACTTCAATTTTACAGTGAAAAGCATTTGAGGGGTCGCAAATACTAATTCTATATGCGCCCTGCTCACGGACTGGTATTACGTGCTGTCAAAGTTACTAGCTAGTAAATTCTTTTTAACACTGTGATATAATATTGTGCTGTAGAAACAGTGAACTGTATAAGTGTATATATATATATACATATATATTTCAGAAAAATTCATATATATGCACTTCAAAATTAATTAAATGCAGCCCAAAAGTCAAACTGAAAGCGATTGATCAAGCTTAGCTCTTTAATATGGACAAGTGACATCCACTACCACTCCCCCCAAACACAATATTATATCTTCAAGTCTCATCCCATGAAGGTGTTTCCTTATCTGCTGTCTGTGTGTGTGTGCGTGTGTGATATACAGCCATCTTCAACTCTCTCCCACACACACAGACATGTTGTTGCATCAAAATTCAAACACTACACACAAAGAGTTATCGTACGTACGTTTGGACATGAGAGGTCCACACGTCTAGCCTGTAATGTTTTGACATCCATCCACTAATTAAAACGTTGTGATTGTGATTGTGTTTTTTTTGTTTTTGTTTTTTAATGCAACAGACATCATACCTGCTGTTCGCCACAACAAAGAGCTTGCAAATAATAATTGGTTTATTACGTTTGGGCTTGTTTGGAATGCAGCTAGGAAGCTCCCTCCAAGCTGACTTTTGGAACCCTAAAAGCTAATTGAAATTAAAAAAAAAATTTATGGTTCGTATGGTTCTCCAGACAAATGATTTTTGGCTAAAAATCATATCTAGGTTGAAGTAACTTTTTTTATTTCCGACTTTTTTATATTTATATTAATAATTTTTTTTATAAAATCCTGTCCAAATATAAATTATATTATTTAAATAAATTCTTGCCAAAATTTTAATTTAAAAAGAATCAGTTAAGATGAAAGTCGAATTTTTTTTTTTAACCGATATTAAGAAGGCATTAGGCATGGAGTGTGTGTGGCGTTATGGTACAAACACGATGCTTTGTAGTTCATGATTTCAGTGAATATATAGGTACGAGAGGGTAGGCTTGTGATTTGGGGAACTGGGACTTATTTAACAGCATGCGTTCATAATATGTCATGTCAAGTAAAGTTGAAAAGACGGCACGCATCCTTAATGCGTTAATCATTTATTTTGCTTCATCATCTCCGGTGTAAATTGCATATGAGGACAGATTTTGATCTTCAATTTGGAAATTATTTACTCCCTCCATTTTTTCAAAAAACCATTAAAATCGTACAATTCAAGATATTAGTTAAATTTAATTAGAAACAAAAAATATATAAAAAATATAAATAAAAATTTATTACAAAGAGATAATAAATAACATATATTTATTGATAATAAAAATTGAAAGGCTAGTTTAACATTGTAGGTTTTCCGACAAAAAAAAATTGTAACTATAGAGTATTTGACTCTTCTATTTAGAAACACACCAAATGGAGTAATTAATTATATATAATAAATAGATGAAAATTAAAATACAAGTACAAAT